AACCATAATTTGGTTTTAAAAAGCGAAAATCACAAAAATATGCATTTTTATTCTATTTGTTGTCATCGTGTGATTTTAAATGTTTTAATTTGTGTGTTAATTGTCGTTAAGTGTTAATTAATATCTATGTAGTTTAATTTTGGTTGTTATTTAATTAGGAATTTTTTTCTAAAGAAAAGAGTGCAAAAAATTGAAGAAAAAATCGGATTTGGGCTTCACAATTAAACCAAAAGAGCAGGCCCAATGTGTGTAATAACCCAGTCCAAGACCAGGTCTCTCAGCCGTCTCCCAAACGACGTCATTTGGATGCTTTCAATCTGGACCATTGATCAGTCAGATCTAACGGTCCAGTTCAGTTCTTTCATTAATCCAAACGACGCTGTATGATCACAATCAATCAGGGCCGTCTTTTCCCTTTAATCCAACGGTCCCGATCAATCCTCTATACCCGACCCACTTCATCCCAGAGACCGACCCAGTCTCATTTAATCAAACGGCACCGTTTCCCCCTTAACGAAAGATCCTGGCCATCGATCCCAGCTCATCNTAGGTAATCCTAATTGGAGCCGGCATCAGTCTGAAATAACAAGTTAATCGTGAACCTGCTGATAAACCTAGTTAAGGCATAAATTTGGACTAATTGTGTGAATTAGGTATTAATGTTTGGTTCAGGCAGCTCGTATGTTTAAAAAGGGGATTTGTTTGGTTTAAAGGGATAATTGTTTGAATAGGTTTAGTTCTGCCAGTTTTAGGCAGAAATAAAAAGGCCATTAATTTTATAGAATCTGTAGGCTTGACATATTTGAAGTGCGATTCAATGTAGAAAGGATAAGAACCTTAATCCAATAGGTTATCCAAGTTAACGTGTTAGCTTCAACAAACTTTTGTAAGCATCAGTAATTAAGGTGAGTTTAGTTTCAAATAGTTGAAAAGCATTTAGTCCCAATGAATCAATTCGTCTAACCATGCGAGTTTAATCTAGCTATAGGTTAATTAGTTTTTTTTTGAATATGTTATTTGTCGATGTTGCATTTTATTTATAATTTCAATTTCAGTAATCTTCTCTTCCAATAACATTTGTCTTAATCTAGCAATTAATATGTCACGTTTTTNTTGTAAGCAGTCCATTAATTAGTTTCGTCAATTAATTCACTCTCGTTTGTTAAAACAGAAAGTTTGTCAAACGTTGTTGTGTATATTTGATCCGTGGCCATTTGGTTTCAGGGCATTGTCATCCTAATGACAATGAACTTGCATTCCTGATGTTTGCATTCATGTGCATATTGATTAAATATTTCAGTTTCAGTTTTAGGGATTGTGTTAAGTTCTATGTTGTGTTAAGTCTAGATTGATTTAATTCCAAGTTCATTTGTTCCAATTGATTTCTAACTTTAGTCCTTCAGTAATCGGAAATAAGTTTGGGTACATTTGAAAGTCAGGTTTAAATTTTAAATCTTTGTTAAGGTTGAAAACAGATTTCAGATTTTAAAAGTTGTAATGCAATAGTGTTTATGTTAGGAGGGCAGTAATATTAAGGGTTTTCAGGGGCAATTTGGGATTGAAACAGTTAAGTTTATATTTTAGTATTAGTGCTTTGTTAATGGGGGTATTAACTAATACATTAATGGGGAACGAGAGGTAATGGGGGCTGAAAATCAGGGAAAAGGCTTCCTTAGTGGGATTTAAAGTAAAAAGAGCAGATTTTTAGTGGGGAATTCTGATTTTTTTTGAAAGGGAAAAAGACCGGGCAGATTGTATAAAAAGGGGGGCAGACTGAAAAAGAGAAAAAAAAACGGGACTAAAAAAGAAAGAAGAAATCTGGAAATACTGGAAAAGGAGAGGAAACAAATTCAGAAAAAAAATCAGAACTTTTAGATTAAGAGTTAGAGTGTTGAGTTTGAACTTTTGCACTAAGAGTTGTCAGGCTGCTGTTCCTAAGTATTTGAAAATCAGAAAACTTTTGTTTCCTTGCATCTGTCTATGTTTCATTTTGGTACTGCTGAGTTTTCAGTTTCGTTTGAGCTGGGTTTACTGGTTGTTGTTGTACTGCTTGGTGCTGATTGTCGTTGTTGTTAGCTACTAGTTACTGATCTTCACTTTCTTCTTCCGTTTCTACTATCAGGTACACTTTCGAATCATTGGGATGCGGCTGTTGTAGTGAAAAGAAATACTCAAGTAGTCAAGTATTTAATTTGTATTTGCATGTTTAATAGTCAAATGATAGGCAGATGTATAATCTATCTTTGTAATTCAAATTAAGAACATGGACGATGGAATTTATATTTGGCTAGAACTATTTTCTTTTGATTATAAACTGTAATTTGTAAACTATTAATAGTTTTCCAGTGTATGTTAGTTAGAATTCTATTTCATTCCGAATTAAGTATATTGAGTTATTAGAATTAAACAAGTTTAGGTAATCCTAATTGGAGCCGGCATCAGTCTGAAATAACAAGTTAATCGTGAACCTGCTGATAAACCTAGTTAAGGCATAAATTTGGACTAATTGTGTGAATTAGGTATTAATGTTTGGTTCAGGCAGCTCGTTTGTTTAAAAAGGGGATTTGTTTGGTTTGAAGGGATAATTGTTTGAATAGGTTTAGTTCTGCCAGTTTTAGGCAGAAATAAAAAGGCCATTAATTTTATAGAATCCGTAGGCTTGACATATTTGAAGCGCGATTCAATGTAGAAAGGATAAGAACCTTAATCCAATAGGTTATCCAAGTTAACGAGTTAGCTTCAACAAACTTTTGTAAGCATCAGTAATTAAGGTGGGTTTAGTTTCAAATAGTTGAAAAGCATTTAGTCCCAATGAATCAATTCGTCTAACCATGCGAGTTTAATCTAGCTATAGGTTAATTAGTTTTTTTTTGAATATGTTATTTGTCGATGTTGCATTTTATTTATAATTTCAATTTCAGTAATCTTCTCTTCCAATAACATTTGTCTTAATCTAGCAATTAATATGTCACGTTTTTTTAGCATGTAATTAACTAGGATCATTTTCTTTTATTTTAGAGAACAACCTAAATAGAAATGTAGTCGCTTTAGGACCTTTCTTTTAAAAAGAATGAGATGAGCCTCGCCGAGTAAAAATATAAAAATTGTGGGGCCCTCGGTAAATATTTACTTTAAAAATTGCTTAGACTTCGGAATGGACCGTTTAGCAAACTCTCACGGCCATACCCAAAGTAAATGATACGCTAGTCGCTTTAGGCGCGCCTTTAATAATTTAATTTTCTTAAAACTCGGGTGCACATTTATGTGACCCAAATCCAAATCTCAACAGAGTCGAAATATGTCGATAACCACGGGTACATTGATGTGACGTGGTTCGCGATATATTTTCACGATGTTGCAATTCTCTATAAAAATAATAATAACAATAAAGCGGTTAAAAGTTGAAATTGCACTATAGTTTTTGAACAGGTATTAAAATTCAGATATTTTAGCCATTACAACAGTTTAAGCGACTGTGCTAGAACCATGGGATTTGGGGGTGCCTAACACCTTCCCTCGAGTCAACAGAATTCCTTACTTAGAATTTCTAGTTCGCGGACTTCATTTGGAAAGTCGAATATTTTCCTCGATTCGGGATTAAATTGGTGACTTGGGACACCCTAAATCTTCCGAGTGGCGACTCTGAATAAATAAATAAATCCCGTTTTGATTGTCCTTTAATTGGAAAAAACTCCCTTCCGCGCCCTTTTAAGGTGGCGCAGGCGAAAAAAGAGGTGTGACAATGAGTATTACTACAGTTTTGGGGCTTAACTTAAAAAAAATTGAAAAAGCATGAACCACATTATTCCTTGTCAAATCAATCCGATGGGGGAAAAAACTCGACAATCAGTACTACCACATGGAAAGTTTTGGGGCTTAACTTAAAAAAGAAACTGAAAAGCATGAACCACATTATTCCTTGTCAAATCAATCCGATGGGGGAAAAACTCGACAATAAGTACTACCACATGGAAAAAATTAAATTGATAGAGTAGGGGTCGGGTTAGTTCGGATTTTATAATTACCAAACCAAACCAATTATTTCGGGTTATTAAATCTAAAGACCAAACCAAACCAATAAAACTCGGATTTTTCAATCTCGATTTTTCTCGAGTTTTCGGATTTTTCGGGTTTTTTCCGGTAAAATCTTCGTATAACAAAACATATAATGTATGCTCAAAATACTTCTTTAATCCTAGTAAGATACAACTATATAAAGTATTTTCAAGAAAATAATAAAAAATATGAGATATGTCATGGCATTATCCTGAAATATTCAACAATAAAGACAATAAAATTATATAATATAAATATTGCTAATTAAAAAAGCCATAATAAAAAGAAACATAATCTAAAATTACTAAATCATGCTAAAATAAATAGACTAATAAGGGAGTATTAATTACACGACTAAACGCTAAAGAAAAATAAAAATAGGTTATGCATTTTTATCTAAATTATTGCAAAATAAAAAATAGATATTTAATACATTCTCGTTCGTAATATTGAATTGAATGTCTTTTCTTAGTATTAGTATTGATTTGATTTTGGTTTGGGCTTTTGTTAACATTATTTAATTTACTAATATTAATGGCTATAAAACTTACTGAAGCATTCAAAAGTTCTAAGTCCAACCTTGAAATATGACCTTAAAAGATAAAATTATGAAATTTTTTAAGAAATATTTATAAATTGCATCATAATAAGTATATTTATATATTAAATAAATCTAAAATTTCTATATATGTAATGTCGGGTTGGTTTAGTTTCGGTTTGACTTTCTTTAGTTAAAACCAAACCAAACCAATTATGGTCGGGTTTTTTTTCCAACACCAAACCAAATCAAACCATAGTCGGGTTTTTTTTTCCGATTTGACTCGGATTATCGGGTTGGTGCGGTTTGTCGGATTCCTTTGTACACCCCTATGATAGAGCATGCAAGTTGGACGGATACCATTGTTTTCATGCATAACCATTGTTATATTCATATATATGATGTATGAGGAAAGAAATAAATAGAAGATTCGATATTCTAACATATTTCTGAAGTAGAAGGAAGGTGTAATAGCAAGATTACCCTGCATTTGAGATGGAGTTGACATGATTTGTGTTTGCAAGAAGATGATTTTCTGTTGCCTCTCTACAGTTGAGGTGTTGTTGCAACAACAATGCTGCTTTCTAAGGCATTGTCATATGATAATAGATCCCACAATTTTTGATATTCTTATCATGAGCTTCTTTTACCATGTGAGGACTTCTTTTATCTGTCAAAAATCCATCTATATGGGTATTCATTTTTGGCAAATGTCAATAGTATAGTCGTACTAAAAAGTTGCGACATTATGATTATTCTTTTTCGTCAAGCATTAAGGAACATTCACAACACCACAAAATACAACTGGCGTAATCAATTTCTCATATTATTGATTGTAAAACGAAAAAATAAATAGCACCTACATAGATAAATAGCAAACAATGATAAAGAATGCACTTTTAACACTTAATTTATAGGGAAGTTACTTCAACCATAGATGGAAAACAGGAAGATGCAATTGATAAAGAGTCTAAATTATTCTCGGCCCTCATCCCCAATTATTCATGATCTTTTGTTCCATAAGCGTACTCATTTAAAATATATATATTTAGCAAAAACATTCACTTGTTAAATTGAAAGGGTGTAAATTTTACATGCCGCAAACATTCACTTGTTAATATGGTCTTTTAAGATTTCCTTTTTTTTTTGTTTTGTTTTGGTTTCGTTAGTTTATCGTAATTTTTTTTCCTTTTTACTAATCCTTTTTTATTAAATAAAATGAGGGTAATATAAGCAAAAAAGGCATAGATGCTAAAGATTTCTTCTGAAAGAGTTACTGACTCACCACTATTAATTAAATAACTGGGCACTTGTTAACATCATTTACAGAAGCAGTGGGCAATTTTTCTGTGTGGTCATTGTGTCGAACACATCATGGGCACCAAAATAAGCATATCCTGTTCGTTCCTCCCCCAGAATTAAGTAATTAGAACACATGAAATAAAAATGCATATGAGGAAAGTATAGAGAGATTAAATAAAGAGGCTAAATAGTGTATTTCTTCCCTCATTTTGCTTTTGCGCTGTGAGTCTTAATGTTCATTCAAAGAATAGAGAGATTAGCAGAGAAAAGAGTAAACCAATAAGTTCAACAACGGTGAAGCAACATAATAAAAATAAAAAGTGAACAATATCAGATTTGAAGAAGAAATTTTGGATCAGAAGTTTCAAGAGAAATGCACCTTTTAGTTTTCGACCGAAGAGTTTTTTTTCTTTTTGGTAAAAGAAGAAAGTTACCAACTTTAGTGTATGAATCCCAAATTCAGATTATCGGTGCTGCAATTTTGATAGTATCATAAATAGATTTTCGACAGTTAGATCAACTCTTGATGAATTATAAAGCAAATACACGGAAGGGCACAATGCGAAGTTTATCAAAATTAGAAGTCAGGAATACATGAAAATTTCATGATAAAAGATGAGAAAATAACCTTTTCTCATTGAAGAGAGAAGAAAGAATCAACATGTGTATTTGATGTCTCTCCATGGTGGGCTTTTTCATTATCAATTTAGGGACTAAACACCCGTATAAAGAGACGGTGGTGTTTCTCAAGCGGTGTCAATATGTCATCACTTATTTTTTTCACGGTTGAAGTCAAGGAAAAAATGAGAAAAAATGTAGGAAAAGATAAATGCAAATCCTGCTCGCTAAGATTGCCACGTCACCGGGCTAATGGCCTTCAATTATATATATATATATATATATAGAGATTTCACCCGTCTTAATTATGCAACACTTTTTTCCTTTTTAGTCTCTAAAAAAGAATGTCACCTTTCCTTACTTAGAAATAATTTATCCGTAGAATTTATACTTTACCCCTTAGTGAATTGATTATAGGCATACAATTTATTTTAGACTACAAATTTTAAAAGTCTTTCTTTATTTTTTACTAACTCTAATATTGCCAGATAAATTGAAAAGAAAGGAGTATGATATTTTAGTATCATCAAAGAGTTATACGATGATTATATGATTTGTTTAATTTAGTTACATATATTTTTATTATAAGAGTACTTACATCGAGATAAGACGATAACTACAATTTTGTGAAAATGTATCCAAACAAATCAGATCATGAATGTTTGATATGATTAATATTCTTTAATAATGTTCGCACATTGCGCGAGTAGTAATATTAGTTGTAATAATATGAAGGGTTGGAAAATATAAAGATGAGAGACGGTTTAGGTGTTGAGGGGGAGAGGGTGTGGAAGCGGGGTCCACATAAGAGAGTACAAAGTAAAGCTAATGTGAGAAGTGTGCAATGACAGACTATGACATAAGCAAAGGTCAATTTAGTCAAGGTACTCAAAAATTTATATAGCAGCTATAGTAATATTTCTTTTTAACCTACCATAATGTTCCATTTTAGCTGAAATGACCAAATTATCCTTACACCCCCAACCAGATATGTCGTCCAGCTGTGTGCTAACTCCCCCTTATTAGATAGAAATATTTACGCCACTTGTGGTTATTTAACAAAAAACTTGTTAATCTTTTAAAAAAAATAATTTATAAACTTTTCCAAAAAATTAGTCACATAATTTACATATAGTGGTAATTAACTATATACTAATTACAGGAATTAATATAGGTATATGCAATTAGTAAATAGTGGCAATTGTAAAAATATGAAGGGTTGGAAAATGTAAAGATGAGAGACGGTTTAGGTGTTGCGGCGGGGGGGGGGGCCACATAGAGGAGTACAAAGTAAAGTTGATGTGAGAAGTGCGTAGTGACAGACTATGACATAAGCAAATGTCAATTTAGTCAAGGTACTCAAAAATTTAGCAGCTACAGTAATATTCCTTTTTAACCTACCATAATGTTCCATTTTAGCTGAAATGACCAAATTATCCTTACAACCCCAAGCAGACATGTCCAGTTGTGCGCTAACTCCCCCTTATTAGATAGTAGAACAACAAAAGGGAATTTTTACTTACAGCTCGTTTGGCCATGAATTGTTTTTCTTTTTTTTTTCATTTTTTTCGAACATTTTTCATTTCTTTTCTTTCAAAATTTAGTGTTTGGTCATAAAATTTCTAATTTTCACTTAAAGATTATTTTGGAATTTTTAAAAAATTTAAAAAATTCCAAAAAGTTATTTTTCAAGAGGAAAAAGACGAAAACAAAAATAACTTACCGAAAAATACTATGTCGTGGCAAACCACTACCTTGAAAGCGATTTCGGTCCGACTAGGTGCAAATCGTTAAGACCTGTTCGCTCCTCAAGGTTCCGCAGCACCTCCAAACACGTGCACTAGTGGCAGGAAGTTTGGAATTTCACAAAACAGTTGCCCAGAATTCGGTTGAATAAAGAGAGAGACGAATGTGTTTTTCATGTATTGGATAATTCACAAAGAGACTGCCTTTTATAGGCAAAGCTATTGGACAGCTACAGATGAAGGAATTAATCTATAACTGTTACAAAAATTAAAATAGAGCTGTTAGAAAATTAACCACAGCTGTTACAAGAATTAAATACAGTTGTTACAGAAATAGCATGGCAGTTACAAAGAAAGAACGTTACAAAATTCAATTCAAAGGGAGTGAATTTGGACATATTTTGGTAAGCTCAAAAATGAAGAAATAATTTTAGCAAAACCAAATTTGGAATAGGCCTCATGTATATCTCGCGCGCAGTGGGATAAATCGACCCGTTTTACCTTCAGGATCAATTTCTCATGTGCGCTAGACCACTTCCTTTTACTAGCTCTTTAAAATCCCAACAAAGGGCAATTCAATATAAAGAGAATGAACTTTCCACCACCAACAAGGGACACTTTATCCTTCACAAAAGATAAAGAGGTAAAGAAGAAAAAAGGGACCACAATGAAATATTTGGCTTTGCATTATCAAGATTAATAATACCAACAATCCCCCACTAATGCAAAGACAAAAATAGAGTAAGAACAATTCTGGGCAAAAGAAGGAACATGTACTTAAGAGTCAATATTTTTCGATTTGAATTGACACGTAGTGAAATGAGGTAATAACTAATATCCACAAAGTGAAGTACTCTTGAACTGAATGGACATTAGTTGAGACCCCACAACACATACTATATCCTTAATTTTATGCAAACTCAGCGATACTAATAAAGTGCTTTTATGGTCATGCATATACCTTGGGTCTCATGAGTGCTCTAGAAAGACATCCCAAGTCTTTCATAAAAGGCAACCACACCTTTACACCCACGTAGGTGATTCCATCTATAATGGCCCGACCAGTCATTTTGAGAAATTGCACTTCGCTCGGTTGTTTGAGGGCATGAGTAGCTCCGTAGGAAGTATTATGACTTATGTAAATCGTCGGTTTTGATTTTCAGGTTATTCAGAATTAATTTAGAAGAATGATTCTCAGCTAGAAGCTTTAAATTTGAAAGGTTTGACCAAGTTTTGACTTTTTAGAATTTGACCTCAGATTGGATTTTTGATGGTTCATTTAGCTCTGTTGGATGATTTTGGACTTAGGAGCGCGTCCGGATTGTGATTTGGAGGTCCGTAGTAGAATTTGGCTTGAAATAGAGAAAGTTGGAATTTTGAAAAGTTTGATCGGGAGTGGACTTTCTATTATAGGGGTCGGATTCCGATTTCGGAAGTTGGAGCAGGTCTATAATGTCCTTGCATGCAAAATTTGAGGTCAATCGGACATGATTTCATAGGTTTCGGCATCATTTGTGGAAGTTTGAAGTTTCAAGTTCATTGATTTCGAATTGAGGTGTGATTCATCGTTTCGATGTTGTTATGTGTGTTTTGAGGCCTCAAGTAGGCCCTTTTTTATGATATGAGACTTTTTGGTATGTTCGAACAGGGTCCCAAAGGGCTCGGGTGAGTTTCAGATAGGATTGAGTTGTGTTGCGCTCGTTTTTTATGTTTCGACGTCGTTTTTCAAGCATAAATGGTACTACATTAAGCAAAAGAGCTTCGATTTCTGTTTTTATTGAAGCATTAGATCCGTATCATAATTACGGAGCAATAGCAAAAAGAATCATCGAATTTTGACATCGTATGAGGATTTTATGATCATTTTACTAAGAATTGGGTTGCGAGATTTTTTTCAGATTAATTATGAAATTGCCACTGGATTCGTATTTAAAAATCTGCATTATTTTCAAATATTGAAACCAACATATCTCCTTCAATATAAGGTCAAATGGAGTGATTTAATAGCCTAACTTGACTAAAATTTCAGAAGGAATCTATTGAAGGCATAAAAAGCGAGTTTCGGGATTGTTTGGCACGAGAATCAAGGCAAAATAGCTGGCAGAAAAATATATAAAATAAAGGTTTGTTCATTTGATCATATTTTGAGTTGGGGAGCTCGCAATTGGGCGATTTTGAAGGCGATTTTCACCATATGTATTGGGGGGTAAGTGTTCTTTACTTGATTTTGGCTATATTTCATGAATCCATCTTCGTTTTTGGTATTTGATTGATGATTTCACAGTGAAATTTGGGGGTTTTGCCTAAAGTTTCATAAAGTGAATTTTTAAGTTTTGAACATCGATTCGGAGTCGGAATTGGATGAAACTAGTATGGTTGGACTCATAATGGAATGAATTGTCGGATTTTGTGAGTTTTGCCGAGTTTCGAGATGCGGGCCCGGGTTGGGATTTTTGGTCGATTTTGGGCTTTCGATTAAAGATTCGACCTTTTTCAATTGGGATTGGTTGCCTTAGCATTGTTTGATGTATTTGAGTTGTTTTTGGTTAGTTTCGAGCCATTCGGAGGTCGGAACGCATGAGATGGCATTTTTAGAGCATCGCTTGGCTTGCTCGGTATTGGAATTGACTTGTTTGAGGTAAGTAATGATTGTAAATCTAGTCCTGAGGGTATGAAACCCCAGATTTCACATTGCTTTACTATTTTGAGGTGACGCACATGCTAGGTGACGGGCGTGTGGCGTGCACCGTTTGGGATTGTGACTTGGTTCGTCTTGTAGCAACTATAAAGTTGCGTATTTGACTTAAATTATATGATACTTATATGTTTAGAAAGAATTTTCTATAAATTGGGCTGAATGTCATATTTGGGCCTTGTTCCAGAGCTGTTTGGACCCTTAAGGGCTTTTTCTTATTATCCTCTCACTATTTTTAATTTAAGATCTATACTTAGTCATGCTGTATTTACTGATTTCATAAATCAATCTTTATTACTCCGTTTTGATGCATAAAATGATATTTTGGGCTGAGCACCCTGTTTTACTGATAGCCCGAGTGGCTTGAGAGATTTTTGACTAAGTGAGGCTGAGGGCCTGTGTTGTGAGGATATTATGGGATCGGGCTGCACGCCGCATCATGTTGTTATTGATTCATGATTTTTATGAGGCCGCGAGCCTGATTGATTTATGCCATGAGGTGGCTTGTTATGAAGTCGAGGGCCTGATTGATTTATGCCACGAGGTGGCTTATTATAATGCTTGGGCTGTAGGAGCCCCTCCAGAGTCTGTACACCCCCAGTGAGTGCGGGTACCCTAAGTGAGTGATATGATGTTTTGCTCGAGGGGTTGTTCTTGATTCATATTGTGCCCGAGGGGCTGTTTACGAGCGATTATGAGATAATGCCGGAGGGA